CATATAAAGTTGTATATATACAATGTACGTATATATATTTTTTTTCTATAGTCTATTCCCTTTTTTTAAAAAAATTTTTTGAAGCCGGGCGTTGCTGGTGCACACCTTTAATCCCATCACTTGGGAGGCAGAGGCACGTAGATCTCTGTGAGTTTGAGGCCAGCCTGGTCTACAGATCGAGTTCCAGGACAAGCAATACAGAGAAACCCTGTCTTGAAAAAAAACAAACAAAATAACAACAACAAAAAAGAACAAAAACAAAAACTTTGGCACCAAAGGCATAAACTGAAACTGTCTTGACCTAACTGGCATGTCTAATTCCTGAGTGAGGAAAACAGTTTTTTTTTCTTTACTATTTATTTATTTATTTATTTATTTATAGGTTTTTCGAGACAGGGTTTCTCTGTATTGTTTTGGAGGCTGTCCTGGAACTAGCTCTGTAGACCAGGCTGGCCTGGAACTCACAGAGATCTGCCTGCTTCTGCCTCCTGAGTGCTGGGATTAAAGGCGTGCGCCACCAATGCCCGGCTTTACTATTTATTTTTAATTTATTTAATTTATGTGTATGGGTATTTTACCTGCATGTATGTGTTGTCTGTGTACTGCCACATGCAGGAGCCAGCAGAGGCCAGAATTGCCAGCTAATCTGCTGGAACTGAAGTTACAGATGATTGTGAGCCACCTTGTTGGTGCTGGGAATGAAACCTGGGTCCCCTGCAAAAGCAACAAAGGCTCGTGAGCCTTCTCTCCAGTCCCAAACCAGGGCATTTCCCTCCTTGGAGACAGGGTCTTGTGGTAGCCTCTGGGTGTCCAAAGCATATTCCCTGAGTCTGATGCAAGTTAGGTCCTGGGAATGTCCAGCAGTCCTTCTGAGGACTCTACAAGACGCAGGGAAATTTTGCTGTTGTTTCAGAGTGCCACCTTTGATCTCCACCACTGTTCATAATACTTGGCCCTCCTTGCAGATATTTCCTCTGTGTTCTGAGCGTTGTTGACCTTTGTCCAGAGCTTTGGATCATTTTCATAATGCTGGATTGAGGCCCACCAGCCTGAGTCCACACAGGCTGCCAACAGAAACTCCCTTCCTATCCCAGGTGTGCAGGTATGGTGGTGCACATCTCAGATCCCAGCACTTGGGAGGTAGAGGCAAGAAGATCAGGAGTTCAAGATCCACCTCAGATACATAGTAAGTTCAAGGCCAGTTTTGGCTACTTGAGACCCTGTCTCAGAGGAGGAGGAGGAGGAGAAGCCCTTCTACCAAGTCCTCTCATGGATAGTGTCCGCAGAGCCTACTGGTCAGCAGCCTGGGGTCTGCCTCTTGTCCTTTGTGTCTACCTTCCCCTGTCCCTCTCAATCCTAACACTCAACTCCCTCTTTGGGTTTCTTGGTTCTCTGATTTCCCTGTTTTGGGGATCCCACACAAACATGCTATAGAAATACAGAGGGAGGCTTATTTAGATTAAAGCCTGGCCCACGTAATTATTCTCAAAGCCTCCCACCTTCATAATTATTGCTATGATAGCTACACCTACTCATCTGGTCCTGCCCACTTCTCCCCTTCTTTCCCAGTGGAGTTCCCCAGTGCCTGGAGAGGTGGGGTTGGATCCAAAGTCCCTGGGCTGCAGGATGATCCCCCTAACGTCCGGGTTTGACATTGAGATCAAGAAGAAAAGATGAAGAACTTCCAGGAAAGAAGGATGACAGCAGGGAGAAACCCTAGGACTCAGTTTCCCCATGCGTAAAACGAGAGGGTTTTATTTGGTGATCTCTGAGCGTTCTGACTTTTCACATCTCCACCTCTAACTGTGGCTCTGAACAAGGCATGACCAAGTAGCCCCTGGCATCAGATGTCAACCCTTTTAAAACCAGTCCCTTCTCTCCCTTCCTCCCACCTTTTTTCAAACTCTAGTTGACACCCAAGAGTCTTGGGCAGATGTTTAACCAGGGCTGAGCCTTGTCTTCCCTCGACCACACCCTTCCTAGAGACTAGGCACCAGGAACAAACAGAGGCCCTGGGTGGTATACTCTGGACTTGCTGCAGATCCTTGTCCTCATCCACCTGAGTCCTAGAGACTGAAGCAGAGAACTGAGTTCAAAATAACAGGGGGAAGCTGGGTGTTGTGGTATGCAACCCTAAGTCCCAGGTGGTTAGGAGACAGAAGTGGGCGAATCACTTGAGTCTAAGAGTTTGGAACCAGCCCAGGCAGCATATTAATTCTCGTGTCTAAAGGAAAAACAATAGCCAGACACTTGGGAGGCAGAGGCAGGAGGATCAGGAGTTCAAGGTCATTTTGGGTAACATAACAAGTTATGGGGCCAGCCTGGGATTACATGAGACCCTGTTTCAAACAGTAACATCTGTTATGACTACTAACTAGGGGGTGGAGAGATGGCACAGCAATTAAAAGTACTAGAGAACCCACGGGGTGTTTTACAAACATCCGTAATTCCAGTTTCAGGGGATCCAGGACCCTCTTCTGACGTCTGTGGGTACCAGGCACACAGGTGCTGCATATTATATATGAAGGCAAAGCACTCATAATTAAAAAATAATTAAAAACTAAAAGCCTAACTAACTAATTGAAGTAGCTGGTTGTTGGTGGTGTACATCTATAATCTCAGCATTTGTGAAACAGAGGCAGAGGACAGCCTGGGCTTCACCATGACACCCAAACTCAAGGCAAAAACAAGACAAACAAAGCTGCCACCATAAGTACTGATTAAAAATTAATAGTAATGAAAAATTTAAATTAGAACGGTATGGAACCACAGCTCAGTAGTACGGTACACAGGCCAAGCTCTAAATTCAAAATCCCAAATCTACAAAAGATGAAGAAGAGGAAGATGAGGAGGAAAACCCATGAATCAATCAATGTAGTTGACTTAAAAAACCAAATGTGAGCTGGGTGTGGTGCACACACCTTTAATCCCAGCACATGGCAGGCAGGGACAGGCAGATCCAGGTGAGTTCAAGGCCAGCCTGGTCTACAGAGTTTCAGGAAAGGCTTCAAAGCTACACAGAGAGACCCTGTCTCAAAAACAAAACAAAACAAACAAGCAAAGGCTGGAGAAGATGGCTCAGTGCTCTTCCAGAGGTCCTGGGTTCAAGTCCCAGAAACCACATGGTGGCTCACAGCCATCTATGAGATCTGGTGTCCTCTTCTGGCATGCAGGCATACATGGAGGCAGAATACTGTATACATAATTAATAAATATATAAACTTAAAAGAGACAAAAAAGGAAATGTAGATAATCCAAGCAGTCCAGGCAAAGGCAGTTGTTTCTAGATCAGGCAGGACTACAAAGTGAGAACCTGTCTTATAAAAGAAAAAGCAGGGCTGGAGAGATGGCTCAGAAGTTAAGAGTACTGGCTGGGCCGGGCGTTGGTGGCGCACGTCTTTAATCCCAGCACTCGGGAGGCAGAGGCAGGTGGATCTCTATGAGTTTGAGACCAGCCTGGTCTACAGAGTGAGTGCCAGGACAGCCTCTAAAACAATACAAAGATACTCTGTCTGGAAAAACCAAAAGAAAAAAAGAAAAAAAAAAGAAAATACACGGAAAAAAAAAAAAGGAAAATGTGGACAGGGATGGGACTTACCATATAAGGGATTTCAGACACCTGTGGTTATAGACCACTCCAGGTATCTCCTCATCCCAATATTTTTTTTTCTTGGTTTTTACGAGACAGGGTTTCTCTGTATTGTTTTGGAGGCTGTCGTCCAGCCCCGCCTCGAATTCACAGCGATCCGCCTGCCTCTGCCTCCCGAGTGCTGGGATTAAAGGCATGCGCCACCACCGTCCGGCCTCCTCATCCCAATATTTAAAAAATAATATTTTATTATTTATTTTTATTATTTATTTTTTATTCATGTGTATGACTATGTGTGTATGCTGTGTGCTTGCAGAGGCCAGAATTAGGTGTTGGATTCCCTAGGGCTGGAATTAACATGGGTGCTGAAACTCAAACTTGGGGTCTCTACCCCATTTTAGAAAGAGGACCTTGTGTGTAGCAGAGGGATGTTAAATTCACTATGTAGTGGATGATGAACTTGAACTTGTGATCACCTTAGTCCCTCCTGGGTAGTAAGACTATAGGCATATGCCACCATGCCCAATTTACATAGTGCTTTGGCAGGAACACCAGGCTTTGTGTATGCTAGGCAAGCAATCTACAGGCTGAGCCATATTCCCAAGCCACTTCCTCATTTTCCTGGACACCTTCACCCTTGTAGTGGCAAATGACCTACCATGCCTTCCAGTTCATAGACTACCATAGCCCCCCATGAGTTTGTCCTTGCTAACAGTCCTACGTGAGCTTCACTGCTGCAGGCTTAGCACGTAAGATGGAGTGTTGGACTTTCAACAAAAAGCCTATGATTGACTAATTAACTGGCTTGGAGTGACTCCTGGACACATCTTCAACCCAGTGAAAGTGACTGACCTTACGTGAGCAAAATGAAGAGGCTTCAATTATCAGCAGGGGAGGGCTGTATGTAAAAACAATGTCCTTTTCATGTTCCGGGTGCAGAGCTTACTCTAGCCATTGAAAGCACAGTTTCAGATGTGCTGAACTCTTGAAGCTGTGATCATAAGGTAACTCCCATTAGCAGAGGATGAGAAAGGGCTTGTCTCTGTGATGCTGGGCTTCTTGCAATTCTATCAGATGGAGGACAACATGGGTAGCTCAATAGGCCAAAACCTTGGGATTCTTTCTAGACCAGAACAATAAACAGTTTTAGGCAGGATCCTTCCAACCTATCCCTTTCTAGGAAATCTCTCATCCAATATTTACTCAGGTTGGGGGTGCAACGAGAGGCTGGCAGGCCTTGGCAAAGGACCAAGTCACCTCATGCCCTGAAGAGCATATTTGTGTCTGTGCGTGGGGTATCAGACATCTGGTTCACTGTATCCATTGATTTCCATCTGTGACTCCCTACTTTACATTTGCTGGATTGGAGGTAGGTAAGCAACACCACTTCCAGCAAGAGAACAGACTTACATGTTTTCCAAACGTTTTATTAAGAATAAGGCATATGATAGTCACCCCTAAAGCACAGGGCTCTATTTCTGTAGGTGAGTGAATACACTCAGAAAAGCATTGGATTAAAAAGCGCAGCCAACAGAGAATTTGGAGCAGGATCCATTTGCCCTGCACGTATCCCATTCGAGGCTGGTACATCACTATGAAAGGGTGCTTAGGAGACGCCTGGCCCCCTAAATGAGAAGATGCTCCATACCCTCTGCTCTCCTTCCCTTCCATCTCCATCCAGAACAACTCTATCCTGCTGCTTGCATAAGGATGAGCTACCCCATCTTGGGCCACAACTGGTCCCCAAAGAACAGGTTGCCTTGGCAAGGACACAGGAACAAAGGGTTCAGAGCCCCATACTGAATTGCTCACTCATTCCTGTATGACTTCTAGAATGTAGGACTGCAATGCAGTCTTCCCTTCTGGGTCTGTCTATTCTTACACTGTGGCAGGAGCCCTACTCTTATGAGTGTCTGTAAGAACCATTTCAGTCTCTCAATGAGGATGTATACAGCAAAGAGGAATGAAATGGTCTTTCCCTTTCTTACCACCGGGCCATTCCTGGACCCACACTGGTACTTTTCCTTTGACCAGGTGGATTCCTGTAGCCAGGTCCAGGAAGGACTGGAACAAAGGGCATGGCTTGTCCCGGACTGGGAAGGCTGAGGGAGTCCTTGCCTGTCCTGAAGGGAGCTTTCTATTATCTCCAGAAGAGGAAGAGGAAAGGAGAATCCTGTATCTGCCTAGGCCCTCTCATCATTCCCTCACTCCTGAAGAGCTGCATTGTTTCCTTCCCCCACCCCAAGATCTCGAGTAGGAGTCAGATGCCCTTAGACCCTTTCACCTGGGAGATCTTCAAGCACCCCACAAACAAGTATCATTATCTCTGGCTGTTGGAAAAGGAACAGGATTTGGAAGGAAAGATAGGCGGGTTACTATCGGATCCCTGGGGATGGGGTGTGATGGAGAAAGCTGAACATCCTGGGTGCCCAGAAGGGAAAAGAAGAGGGCTATTGCTATAGTTTAAAGGGAAGCTAGTCAGGGTAGCTATGGCTTTTAGTGCATGAATGGGATTAGAAAGGACTCTCTCTAGAAAAATCAACAGTCACCCTGTTCACCCCAAAAGTATGGTTATAAGAGATGTAGATCTGCATAGGCTCCTAGAGAAAGAGGCCTTTCCCCTCCCAGTGGCCTTTGGGTACCTTCAAGGGAGTAGAGTGAGTACTCACACAGGCAGGTTCCAGGTGGGGAGTGTGGCAGGATAGGGCAGTGAGTCACACAAAATGGAGATAAATGGTACAGGTACTGCCCCTGGAGTGAAGGGTAGCAGTTGGGGCCTAGTAGGGATTCTACTTCTGCCATCCAACCCAGGAATTAGAGAGCTCAGCCCTGGTCATTGCTCAGTGGCCTTAGCTGTCCATTAGAAAGGAGAGAGCAGGGAGGGGTCTGTGTGTAGAATGGGGTTGGAATGTGCTCACTGCTCACTGCCTTCTGCTTCCTGTGAGATTCCTGCTTCCTCTTAGAGTGGGTGGTATGAACCGAAAGTTCTTTTTCTGTCTGGTGGTCATGACTGGAGAAGTTTGTGAACTACAAAGGCTGACTCTGCTCACCTCAAGACCTTGGGTGACACACACAATGTGGTATACCTTAGTCAGGGCTAGGAAGGACCTGCCAGGGCCCGGTGTCCAAGTGAAGTGAGGAATCCCCTCTGCATCCCCGCTCAGCAACCCCAGGGAAGACCTCTCAGGCACTTAAGACTCAGTGCAGGTTAGATCAAGAGTGACGGAGCGGGGCTCTGGTATGGGGCCTATGATGGACTGGATTGAAGCTTCTTCCTGCCTTTGGTAGTAAGGGGAACTGGGAAGAAAGGGAAGTGCCAACATTCTGTTCTCTGTTTGCCATTCCCAACTAAGAGGGAGAGCATAGGACCAACCTACCACCAGCAGGTTCTATGGGCTTAAGGGCCTTTCCAGGGGTGGGCACCGCCGAGGACTAACCGGTATCCACGTTCCTCCCCAGCAAATCAAATTTCTATGGATAGCTGCCACTTCCAAGAGGCCAGGCCCTCCTTCCTGCTTCTGGGTGCAGCCAGCTGCTTGGAAAGCTGGGCAAGATTAGCACCTATAACAGGACTGGGAAGTCTCTGAGGCGGCCCCAAGAACTGAAGGCGAAAGACCCTTCAGCCCTTGCCAAAATTTGAGCCCCAGCTTGCCTATCTCCTGCACCCCTACATGGCAGACCTGGGAAGACCCAAGCAGTTCCTCTTCCACAACCCGCTCCAAGGGTCTATGCTTACTGCTACCAGGAACCCAGAGGCTCTGAGGGGACGTGATTTCTAAAACAGATTGTAAAGTGTTCCTGCTCACCTTCAAGGACTTATCAGTGGGGTGGGGTGGGGAGTAGCTACTTCCGAGTACACGAGCTAGCTCCTAAACTTGCCTCTCCCGAACACAAGGCTGGGGGTGAGAAAGCAGGAAAGGGGAGCTTGCAGGCCTAGCGGTGCCAAGTGCCACCGTGTTCCTTCCTGTAGGTCCTACAAGGGATTGTCAGCTTTCCAGGGAGACAAGACCCCGCTCCTCCCCCTGCCAGGGGCTGGGTGGGACCCGGATTAGGGCTATTACTGCCAGTCTACCACAAAAAAAGTGCGCTCCGGAGCGGGTAGCTCATCTGGGGAAACACACAAGCGGGGGCAGCTCTAGTGGGTGGCGGAGTTGGGGCGGATCTGCCTGCTGGATCCCGCCCCATCCCTGATCCCGCCCAGCCGGGCCTGCCTTCTCAGTCGCCACTGCCTGCCCTGCGCCTACTCAGAATCCCCTAGGGCGCTGGGCATGGCATCCGAGCAATCAGTGGGCTCAGGATGCGTGCCGCATTGGTCCGGGGACTCCTGGTGTGACATGGGGTGCGGGGCATCTTGGTCCAGCAGCTCCTGGCGTGGCAGAGGGCGCGGACCGCGAGCGCTGAGTCGCGGCGGCCTCCGTGGGTATAGGAAGAGCGCGGGGTCCGGCATGGGATCGGCGTCGTCCCAGGTCGCCCAGTCCCGGCCCGGCCCCTTGGCAACCGCCTCAGGAGGGCGGCGGGCCCGTTGTGCGCGTCGGCGGGGCCGGGGCTCGGCGGCAGCGGCGCCGGGGCGCGGGGCCTGCAGTCTCTGGCGCGCGGCGTGCAGCTGGCAGGAGAGGTAGGCGGCCGCCTCGGTGTGCTTCTGCAGCTCGGTGCCCAGCACGGTGGCGCGGTGACTGCGGCGCCGCAGCTCCTCCAGAAAGCGGCGCTCCTCTGAGCGCAGGCTGCAGCGCAGCGCAGACACCAGCGCCTCCCGCTGCGCCACCTCCCTTCGCAGCTCCGCGTTGGCAGCCGCTCGTGCCTCCAACTGAGACTCTAGTGCGCGGCACTTGTTCTCCAGCTCCCGGGACACCTCTTCTGTAGAGAAGGGAGAATAAGGGGGCGATGATGCCTTCAAGGGCGTGAAACATAACTCAGTTGGCCCAGCGACCTCTCCCCTCCCCCCATCCGCTTCAAAATTCAGCCATAGGGACCTTACCCTTGAATTACCCTTAGCCTCTAATTCTTTGGCTTAAACGCAAATGATCATTCATTTGAAAGCGATCTGATCAGTTGAGTTTCAAGTCTCTGCCCCTGTGTTCTCTGGAAGCATACAGCGCAGTAAATAGCCATAAACATGTCAGGTTGCCAGTATTGACATGTGTCAGAAAAACAAATTAATGTTCTGGTTCTAAAGGGGGATTGATGCCATCAAAGAAGGAGAAGCTTCAGAGCTCAAGAGCTAGGGTGTAACTGCTTCTCCCGGAGAAGGGTACTCCTGGAGAGGCAACAGCTTGTGCATGCAAAAGCCCATGTGACAGGAATAAGAGCAGGGCTGAGAAACTGTGAGTGTGCCCAGGAGGTGGTGGTGGGTGTCCTTTCCTTCACGGAACATGTACCCCATCTTGTGAGTTGTTTTTGCTGACTGGTCTAGTTTTTGCCAATGCCTTTACAGCAGGAGTTAACCATAGATACGTATCAGAACAATGCAAAGAACTTTAACACATGCTGTTTCCCAGGCACTATCAAAGACTGTTTAACTTGGAACCCCTGGCATTAATTAGCTCTAGAAGTGACTTTGCTGAAATCTCCCTAGGTGATCATGCAGAGTCAGAGCTGAGGTCCCCTCCTCCTGGACCTTTCTCCCCATCTACACCCGGGACTTGGCACAGAGGCAAAAGAGGCTATGTTCCTTACTAAGTAGTGGCTTGAGATCTGATGAACCCAAAAATCTTTTCAGAGAAAAGCTAGTAGCGGTCAAAGTGTCTGTAGTCATGTAACTCTTTGACTAGTGTCAGGGATGAGTGAGTGTCCCCTCTCTCCAAGCACAGAGACACCAAGAAGTGTCCATGAGTGCCATATGAAGAAGTGGACAGAGTAGGCTCAAGTGTAAGAGTCCCTATGTGTCCTAGCTGATCTACAGGACTTCTAACAGCTTAGCTGAAAAGTTTCCAGCCGTCTTTGCTCTTTTGAGCTTTTGATGTGTAAGAACTGTAACTCATCAGTACCACATCAGTATGGAAAAAGTCAGTTCTTCTGTTTTTCCTTTCCTTTCTTCACCCCTCCCCACCCCAGCAATGGTCTCAGATGCAGCTCTGGCTGGCCTGAAGCTCAGAGCTACCTCTGCTTGCCAAGTGCTGGGACTAAAGGTGTACACCACGATGTCCAGGTTTCTGTCTTTTTCCCTTTGAGACAGGGTTTCTCTACGTAGCCCTGGCTGTCCTGGAACTCACTTTGTAGACCTGGCTGGGCTCAAACTCTGAGATCCACTTGCCTCTGCCTCCCAAGTGTTGGGATTAAAGGTGTGTGCCACCAATGACCTTTTTTTCTTTTTTGTTGCTAACTTGTTTTCTATTTATTTATTTGTTTATTTTTATTTTATGTTCTTTGGTGTTTTGCCTGCCTGTATGCCTGTGTGAAGGTGTTGAGTCTTCTGTCTGAAGTTACAGACCATTGTAAATCACCATATGGGTGCTAGGAATTGAACCCAGGTTCTCTGGAAGAGCAGTCAATAAACACTGAGCAATCTCTCCAACTCCTTCTATCAATTCTTTTTTGTTTGTTTGTTTGTTTGAGACAGGGTTTCTCTGTGTAGCTTTGGAGGCTGTCCTGGAACTCACTTTGTAGACCAGGTTGGCCTTGAACTCACAGAGGTTCACCTGCTTCTGCTGAGTGATGGGATTAAAACTGTGCACCACCACCGACTGGCCCCTTCTGTAAATTCTTAAGAATTGTAATATCAGCACTTGAGAGGTTAAGGCTGGAGGATGGTCACAAATTTGAAGCTAACCTGGTCTACATAGTGAGTTCTAGGTCCTTTGGGACTACAGAATGAGGCAGTACCTCAACACAGAACAGTCTCCTGGTGTCACTGTGTAGTTCAGGTGGCCTTGAATCTGATAAATCATGGCGAAGACACTGGCTGAAGACAAAGTCGCCCTTGCCTCTCCAGTGGCGCCACCAGACACTGGGAGTCAACTGCACCAGCTGGCTCCAGGCCACGCAGAAGCCTTTCCTCTTCCCTATATTAGTTCTTGACCTGGTCTGGTCTCTCGGGACTGTTTTCCGAGTGCTGGGATTAAAGATGTGTGCCACAATGCTCTGCCCTAATAAGACTTAAAAATCAAAACAAAACACAACTTTAAACTTTCATTGTGGCATTCATTTCATGTGTGTGTGCATGCGTGCAGTGTATGTGTTTGTGTCTGTACATACCACTGTGTCTGGGGTGGGGTAGAGGTCTGTGTTGGGCATCTTCCTTTTTGGCTCTTGGAGCTAGAGGCAGGGGGTTGAGTTAAAGGCCAACCTTGACTACATAGTGAATTAGAAGCCAGCTTCTGCTATATGGGAACTTATTTCAAAAAAAATCAAAATCTGGTCCAGCGAGGTGGCTCAGCAGGTAAAGGTACTTGCTGTCAAACCTGATGACCCGAGTTTGATCCCTGGAACCCACGTGGTAGAAGTAGAGAAGTAACTGACTCCAAAAAGTTCTCAGACACACACACATGTGTGTGTCCCATCCCCATAGTAATATATAAAACATATGCAAAACACTTGGTGACACTCAACTTCTGGACTTCATGCACCTCCCACCAGAGCTCAGAGCTATCTCTCTTACCTTGCTGGTGAGACTGAACCTCTCTCATTTCCAGGTCACGGGTCAGTTCTGGGGAGGAGAGAACAGAGGGGTTTGTGTATGCATGAGTAGGTGTGAGTGTCAGGAAATCACAACTCAGTGGAAGGACAGATCTATAGGTACCATCTACACCACCCCCGACAGTTACTTTACACCCCAGCAAGGGGAAGAGACATGCTGAAGGTACAGCTTGGGCCTGGGGATTCCAAGCCCAGAGATCTTTCTAGCAAAAGTTTTGTGCCTAGGCTTTTGAACAGAAACTACCTCTGTAGGCAGAAGAGCCTGGCTTGCTTAGGAGATAAGTGGGTATTTAACTTTTCCTAAGGGGTGATATGTTTGCTGCCTGGTCAGATGGTTGTGGAGGACTCTTGTTACACAGGGTCTTGACCTATGCAAGCTTCATTGATTGGTGAATGCTGCAGTGCCCAGAGGCTCTGTGAGTGACAGAGATAGGCAGAAGCTATCCAAACTGAACACAAGGGACACTAATTTCATAGCTAGTATCATACCGGTATTACGGTCTGGAGATCCCTGCTCTTTTCTTAAACCCCATTTGACCACTATACAAGAAAGCCTTAAGGAGGACTGCGCCACCTAGTGATGGAAGCTGTACCAGGCTTTGGTTTGGTGTTGAAATGGGAGGGACTCCTCAGGGGCACCCAGCCTGGGGAATGACATCACCAAGGTCACTGGTATAGGAAAAAGTTCTTCCTGGGCTGGGGCCAGCCACCTCCTTATCTCTGTTTATTTTTCTTTCTTTCTTTCTTTTTTTTTTTTTTTTTTGGTTTTTTCGAGACAGGGTTTCTCTGTGTCTTTGGAGGCTGTCCTGGAACTAGCTCTTGTAGACCAGGCTGGCCTCGAACTCACCGAGATCTGCCTGCCTCTGCCTCCCGAGTGCTGGGATTAAAGGCGTGTGCCACCAACGCCCGGCATCTGTTTATTTTTCTTAAACTCATTTTTGGTGTTCTCAATGCCCAGTCTCTCAGGGCTACTGCTTGATCCCTATTTTTAGCCCCACCTCCTTTCCCCCAACTCCTAGAGCTCAGAAAAGGGAGGGATCAGGGGTGTACAACTCAGTGACACAGAAAATGTTTAGCACTCCTGGTTCTGGGTTCTAATTCTTACAGAACTGGAGGTAGTGTGCCGGGTAGGGAGCTGGGAGTCATAGGGTCTACCGGGAGAACCGGAAAACACTTTCAGGGATGAAGTTTAGAGCCCAAAGAAAGAAAGAGGCGCACCTCCTGGATTACTGCCCAGCAGTACCTACACAGGCAGGCCTGTGACCTCAGTCTGTTCTTCTGCTCTCCAAACGTTCTTAGGGACCAAGGGCTTTGCTAGAACTACCTTCTCTGGGGAAGCCACTTGTTACTGGGACACAGAGAGCTCTGAGCACCTTAGCTATGACCGGAGCCTGAACCTCCTCCTGGGGCCACTAGGAGGCCTCTGATGCCTCCATCCCTAGGACTCTTGGGGACCAATTTCTCCCCTCCTCCAAGGCCTATGAAATGTCCTAAGGGACCTTGGCTCTGCCACTAACTCGTCAAGGGCTGATTTCTTCCAACCATTAACCACAGAACTGAGAGATGAGGAGACAGAATCCCAGCTGGGCCCCACACCCCATCTTCCTCTTTTGTTTGTTTTTGAGGTAGGATCTCACTATCTAGCCCTAGCTGTTCTGGAACTCACTATGTAGACCAGACTAGCCTTGAACCCACAGAGAACCCTCTGTCTCTGCCTTCCGATGCTGAGGTTAGAAATGTGTGCCACCATGCCAGGCTTCCCCTATCTTTCTTTACTCATCTTCTGACGAGAGTCCTCGTAGGTTATGTAAACATTCTATGAAATCAGTACATGCTAAGACCCTGGACTAATAAAGATACTTCTCTGAGCCTTAGTTTTCTTGTTTGGAAAATGGGAACAAAGCAGCCCCTCTCTTACAAGGGACTAGTGCCAGGATGCAATGGGAAAAAACAGAGAATTCACCTTAGGGCTATGTTAGCCCTTAAAGCTCAGGGGACTAGCCATTATCCAGGCTATCCCATCAGCCCAGAACTTACTTCTACTTCTAAACAACATGTTCTTCATCTTCACCTGGCTTCCATGGAGCCTGCCTTCATGGGTCTCCCTTCAGTCTCCTCCCTCTATTCCCTCCGCTTTCTCTTCACTCCTACTGGAAGGAGGGCCTGATCCAGTCATCTCAGCTCCCAGAGTGGCAGTTCCAGACAAGACCAGTTATTTTTATCTCCTTAATCAATAAACAGGAGGCTCAAAGCCCAGGCTCACCTGAGAGCCAGAGGGGGCTAGCGGGACATCTAATCCTGCCTGTCATGTTGTCATGGGAACTATCCTGTGTCCAGAATGGAAGGACCTAGGTTCTCAGAATTAGGGGAAAACAAGAAGAAATGAGAGGATCTATGGTAAGGCTTTTTAAGTCTCCTGTTTTCCTCTGACACTGTCCCTGTGATGAAAAAGTAGCCTTTGGGGTCATCCAGTCACTGGGGAGATAGATGGCCAAGAGCCTATCCTGGAATGGGGCAAATGGATCTGTGTGTGCCGAGTGGCTGAGTCAAAACTACTCACATTCTGTGTTAATGTGAGGAGCTGAGTGGCTCACTCGAGCTTTCTAGCCTCAGTTTTTCCCTCTGGGCAACAGAGAGGTAGAGAACGTTCAGAAAACTGCACAGATGCTATATTGTATGACTTTCTTCCTCGGTCTTGGTTTATCACTTTCACAATAAAGAAATTGGAGCCTGGTGGTGGCACATGACTTTAGTCCCAGCACTAGGGAGGTGGAGGCAGGTGGAGCTCTGAGTTTGAGGCCAGCCTGGTTTACAGAGTGAGTTCTAGGACAGCCAGGGCTACAGAGAGAAACACTGTATGAAAAAACAAAACTAAAACCAAAAGCTCTTAACGCTGTGACCAAAGATAGATGTTCTCCACAGAACAAAACAGGCACTTGATAGTGCTGTGTTTTTCTGAGAAGATACATGCATTTCCCTGAGTTCACAAATTTTAAGTCTTATTCTCAACTCTCTTCAGAAATCTTGAACCCATGTGACCTGGATGAAGAACAACAAACCCCTTTAAATAAAAATTTATTGCTTATAATAAAAAAAAACTAAACTAAACAAAATACTGGAGTCTGGTGGTGGTAGGCATGCCTTTAATCCCAGCACTTGAGAAGGCAGAGGCAGGAGGATCTCAGTGGATTTGAGGCCAGCCTGATATTGAGGGCTACACAGTGAGGAAGAGGAAATAATAAACAGATAAACAGAAAATTGGGTTCAGACATCCTTTGAGCTGTTGGTACAATACCTCTACTGGAAGAACTGAGTGTGGTGGCTCACACTTATATTCCCAGCACTTTTGAGGCAGAGAGATTAGATGTTCAAGACCATCCACTTGTCAGTATGTCTGCATACTACTCAGCCTCCAGGGAGATGATGTGCTCCCTCTTAGGATGGAGGCACTCGGTCTCCATCATCTTGCTCAAACTGTTTTATCATCCTGAACTCTTGTTGGTCCCCTACTTTTTTTGTTGTTGTTGTTTTGTTTTTGTGAGACAGGGTTTCTCTGTATTGTTTTGGAGGCTGTCGGTCCAGCTTGGCCTCGAACTCACGGAGATCCGCCTGTCTTTGCCTCCTGAGTGCTGGGATTAAAGGTGTGCGCCACCACCGCCCGGCGGTCCCTTACTTTTTTGTTGTTGTTGTTGTTGTTGTTGTTTTTTCGAGACAGGGTTTCCCTGTGGCTTTGGAGGCTGTCCTGGAACTCCCTTGGTAGACCAGGCTGGCCTCGAACTCACAGTGATCCGCCTGCCTCTGCCTCCCGAGTGCTGGGATTAAAGGTGTGCGCCACCAACGCCCGGCTGGTCCCTTACTTTTTGATGTTTATGTTTATGTGTGTGATGCTGGGTGAAGAACTCAGGGCCTTGTGTATATGGTGGGCAAGTGCTCTAAGCCCTCTATTTACCCATACATGTGTCTCCCCACCTGGGCTTCCTAAAGGATGACAGGTGCTCAAGGGACTCAAGAGGACAGGAATCCCCTGGAACTGATTCCTGGAAGCCTGAACCACTAACTCAGTAGGGTCCTCAGCCTTAAAATGTTTATGTGTGGGGAAGCAGGGTCAGGTGAGGGACAGGGGCTCATGTAGCCCAGGTTGGCCTAGAACTTAAGATACAGCTGAGACCTAATTCTACTTTCCCCATATTAGGATTACAGTCATGTACTGTCACATCCTGAGAACCCACTCCACCTCAAGTCTTGATTCTCCTCCAGACACATCACAGGAACTCCAGGAGAGGCACCCCAAGAGAGAGACCCTGCTAGTGACAGAGACCGCTCCTCGCCCCAGCCCTGGGTGAACACTGGCCTCACCTGAGCAGCGCTTCTGCAGCCTCAGGATCTCCAGGTGCAGGTCTCGGAGCAGAGCCATCTGCTCCTTTTTCAGGAAGCTGATGTGGCGTTGTACGCTCTGGATCTGATGCTCTAGGGACACGGTATCCATGGCAACCCAGTCCTGGGCCCCACCTGGGTGGAAGACAAGATGAAACCACATCTTCAGAGGCCATTTGCCTTGCCCCACCTTCAGGTCCCTCCCTTGTGATGTCCTTCGTGCTAGGTCCTCCTGCCTCCAGGGGGAGGATTCCTCCATCCTCAGCTCCCTCTACTAGCTTTCTGCGACGCCGATGAGCATGTCTTCAGGGAGGTTGTTATTCCCATTTAACAGTCCAAGAAGCAGAGGCCCAGGGGTGCCCTGGCTTCCTTTTCCCGCCTCTTCTGCTTCTCAGACAGCCAAACAAGTGGAGAAGTTGGCAAAGACAGGGCAGATTACTTTGGGTCTAGCCTTCACTAGATGTGTCATGCGTGGCCAGCTCCCTCCCTCTTGGAGGTCTCAGCTCTCCATAGGCAAAATAAGGGAACTGACAACTGACACAGCAGCATTATTTGTAACAGTCAGAACCTGGAAACCACCCAGATGCCCCTCAACTGAAGAGTGGATAGAGAAAATGTGGTACATTTACACAATGGAGTACTACTCAGTAGTAAAAAACAATGACATCACCTGCTGGACGGCCAAGGCTACACAGAGAAACCCTGTCTGGAAAACAAAACGAACACACAACCAAAAACCAAAACTGCCCCTCAAAAACCCCTCCAAATAACCCAATGATATCATGAAGTTTGCAGGCAAATGGATGGAACTAGAAAACCGAGTGAGGTAACCCAGATCCAGAAAGACAAACATGGTATGTGCTCATGTACCACTCCTAAGTGGGTATTAGCGGTAAAGTAAAGGATGACCAGGCTACAACCCACAGCTCCAGAGAGGCTAGATTAGCAAGGAGGACTCAAAGAGATCTCATGGGTGGACCGGGGCTGACTGGACATGGGAACTTGCGGGATTGGGCGGGTTGGGGGAGGGACAGAGGAGGCGAGTAAAGAAGGAGAAGTCTTGATAGGGGGTCATTTCAGGGTTAGGGAGAAACCTGCTGCCAGGGAATTCCCAGGAATACACAAGGATGACCTCAGCTAAGATTCCTAGCAATAGGGGCTGGAGAGATGGCTCAGAGGTTAAGAGCACTGACTGTTCTTCCAAAGGTCCTGAGTTCAATTCCCAGCAACCACATGGTGGCTCACAACCATCTACAATTCAATTGGGTGCCCTCTTCTGGCATGTAGGCAAAAATACTGTATATGTAATAAATAAATAAATCTTAAAAAAAAAAGATTCCTAGCAATAGGGGAGAGGATGCCTGAACTGGCCATCTCCTGTAATCAGGTTGGTGACTACCCTAATTGTCATCTGAGAGCCTGATGGAAACAAATGCAGAGATTCACAGCTGTGCATTGGGCCGAGGTCTGGGAATCCTGTTGAAGAGAGGAGGAAGGATTGTATGAGCCAGCAGGTGTCAAGGTCATCACACAGGAACCCACATAAACAACTAAACTGGGCTCATAGGAGCTCACAGACTGTGAACTGACCGTTAGGGAGCCTGCATGGGACTGATCTAGGCCCTTTACATGTGTGACAGTTGTGAGGCTTGGTCTATTCGTGGAACTCCAACGAGTGGGATCAAGGCCTGTTCCATGCTTGAGCTGGCTTTTGGGAACCTATTTCCCATACTGGATTGACTTGCCCAGCCTTAATACAAAGGGAGGAGTTTAGTCTCACCTCAACTTGATATGTCATGCTTTGTTGACACCCAAGGGAGGCCTGCCCCTTTCTGAATAGAAACAAAAGAGGAGTGGATGGGCAGGGGATAGGGGAAGGAGTGAAGGAACAGGAGGAGAGGAGGGAGGGGAAACTGGTTGGAATGCAAAATAAATGAAAAAAAATCAATTAATAATAATAAAAAGGGAGCTGAAGTGATGAACCCTGAAATCTACTCCAGTTATGTCTCCCACACGAATCTCAGCCCTGAGCTCCTTCAAATCACAGGGGAGAGAAGATCCTGATAGGTAGTTCAGGCTAGCCCCCAACTCTGGGCATTCCCACCTCTGACTTTGGAGCGCTTCTGTTACAGGTGTGCGTGGTTGTGGTTGCCTCACAGGAGGGAGGGAGAGATGAAGAGCTGCTTACTAACATTAACATTGAGATAGGGAGGTCAAGGTATAAGATGGACAGCTCTTCATTTGTAGGGTCACTCCAAGCAGGTCCACCTGAGAGCCTAATTTCCACAGGCTTCTGTCTGGGCTCTCTTCCCTAGCACACCTGGCCCCACTAACCTGACCCAGCAGGTCCTTTATTTTGGCACTGGGTAGGCATTTGGCCTACGGAGGGCACCGGATGCTTACTGACCATCTGTGGGTTGATGAAAGGACATGTTATTCCACTTCTGTCAACCACTCCTCAGCCGGCACTGTGGACTATTTCACACTTACTGACACTAAAGTGACCAGGCATCTCCCACGCACAGAGGCAGGGGCATGCCTCATTCTCCAGACAACCCTTTGTCTGCTTGTTTTTGAGACAGGGTCCCACAGAGTTGGTTTTGGTTTTTGAGATGGGGTCTTGTTATGTTAAACTGACAGGTCTCGAACTTGTACACTCACCACTGGATCCTCCCACCTCAGTCTCCCAGGCAGCTGGAAGTACAGGTATGTGCTTAGTTTCTTCAAATCAAAGAAAAGACCCAATGTTTACACCGGGAACAGCCCTGAGTCTGAATCCTGGCTCTTTCGGTTACCTTCTGTGTTGACTTTGAGCACAACAGTTAACCTCTAGGAGACATTATTTTCCTGATGTAAGATGGAGATAAAAAGGACTGGAGAGATGGCACAGTGGTTAAAAGCACTGGCTGTCTTCCAGGTCACCTGGGTTGTTTCCCAGCACCCATGAGGCAGCTCACAATCATTTGTAACTCAGGGGGTCTGATGCCCTCTTAGTCCACAGCCATACATGCAGGCAAAGCACTCACTCACTCACACACACACAATTTCTTTTAAAGGATTTATTTATTTATTATGTATACAGTGATCTGCCTGCATTTGTGTTTGCCCACCAGAAGAAGGCACCAGCTCTCATTATATATGGTTGTGAATCAACATATGGTTGCTGGGAATTGAACTCAGGACCCCTGGAAGAGAAGCCAGTGCTCTTAACCATATGAGCCATCTCTCCAGCACTCCCCTTGTTTTTTCCTCTGTATTGCTTTGGAGGCTGTCCTGGGACTCTCTCTATAGACCAAAGCTGGCCTTGAACTCACAGAGATCTGCCTACCTTTCTTTGCCTTGCCTCCCAAGTGCTGGGATTAAAGGCATATTACACTACCACGGGGCTACATAAAATAAAGTTAATTTTTTTTTTTAGTAGAGCCAGGTGGTGTTGGCCAGCCTGGTCTACAAAGTGAGTTCCATGATAGCCAGAACTATTACACAGAGAAACCCTGTCTCAAAAAAACAAACAAAAACCCCAAAATAAAAAATCTTAGTACAGACAACTAATACAGTAACTCAGTACTATACCTTTCTTTCTTTGTTCATTTCTGTGTGAATAGGGTAAGTCTTACCTTGGTCTACCATTCCATTCCATCCATCCATCCATCCATCCATCCATCCATCCATCCATCCATCCATCCATCCATCCATCCGTCTATTCATGCCTACTGTTGCCGAAGCACAGGACACAGTGATAAACATAACAAAGTCCCTGCAATCGTAAGAATGAAGAAGAGAAGCAATCAATTGGTCAAAGAAAGGGATTAAGTATATTATTACAATTGGAAGAGAATGCTGTGCATCCATCCAGGTGCTGGGATCAGCCACGGCCTTGCATGTGCTAGGCAGGCACTATCTACCACTGAGCTGCATCCTTAGTCCTCAAGACCTTGTTTAGGTTTGGGATCAGGAAAGTGTTTAAGTGATTTTTGGACTGAGTTTTTGTGACAAGCAAGATCTTACATGTACCCACGTTTCCCAGCCTCTTGTGTTACATGTCATCTTGTATTAGCCTGCCCATCCTCTTGCGTGGGGTGGCACTATGCAGGTGATGGCGTTTTACTCAGTGATTAACTCACATACAAAGGTGAGGGGCACCAGCTGAGGTGGTACTCACCTGTGGTTCCAGCTACTGGGGTGGCTGAAGCGGATCACGTGAGTCTGAGTTCTAGATGAGCCTGGGCACATAGGAAGAGCCCATCTCAAAAACCAAAGAAGCAGAGAGGGGAGCTGTGGGAAAACGTGCCTAGCTGAGAGGTATGATCAAAGTACACCGTGTGCATGGAAGAAAATGCCATAATGAATTCATCGTTTTGTATAATTAATATGTAAAGATGGCAGGAGAAACCTCAACAGGACAAAACAACAAAAAATAAGATGAAAGGGTTTACAGATGTAATTACAGTTCCCATTCAATTGACTTTGAATTCATTAAAATTATGAATATGAATAGGATTGACCTATCAGATGAGCCATTCAAATGAACTCAAGATGGAAAACCCAGTTAATACCCACCAGACTCTTGATCATTAGACACAGTGAGTAAATAACTCTTTCTTCTTCTTCTTCTTTTTTTTTTTTTGAGACAGGGTTTCTCTGTTACTTTGGAGGCTGTCCTGGAACTCGCTCTGTAGACCAGGCTGGCCTCGAACTCACAGAGATCTGCCTGCCTCTGCCTCCCAAGTGCTGGGATTAAAGGTGTGCGCCACCAACGCCTGGCTTCTTTTTTGATTTTTTGAGATAGAGTTTCTCTGTATTATTTTGGAGGCTGTCCCAGAACTTGCTCTGTAGACCAGGATGGCATTGAACTCAGAGATCCGCTTGCCTCTGCCTCCTGAGTGCTGGGATTAAAGACGTGTGCCACCAATGCCAGGCTTATAACTCTTTATTCTTTAAAATTTTTTTTGCATTCATTCATTCACTTTGTGTGTTTGTGCATGTGCACATGCCATGTTATATGAGTGGAGGTCAGGGACAGTTGTGGGAGTTGGTTCTCCCTACCTCTCCGGGTTCTGGGATAGAAACCATACAGGCAGGTTTGACTACAAATCCCCTAATCTGTTGAGTCATCTTGCCAGTCCAACCTTTTT